TTAAAAAAAACCTCTGAGGAAGATTGCACCTGAGGTGAAAAGGGGTGGGGGGAAGAAAGGCAGGAAGCTCTATGGGCATTTCAAACAGCACACCACAATGATTCAGAAGTGCAAAGAGGGGGTTGAAAATGGAAGAAAGCCGTTTACGTCAACAACGGCTCAGGCACCATCCACCAACGAAACACTACTGGATTTGTATGAAAAAGTAAATAAATCCTGCAAGTAGCCAGTTACTAAACTGGGTCTGTCTGAAATGAAAGGAAAAAAAAACCCCATTAGTACCCAGGAACTAAAATAGGATAGGCAGTCTGAAAAGGGCCGATATATTTCAGCCATGTCACAGACTGTAGCCTCTGTCTGCTTCTCACTCTCTATCCCTCCTAACTTCAGCTCCACCTTTACTTGTCATACACATACACACCTGTCCAGTCCGTTAACTGGGAGGGTGGTCATGGGCTCCTTCATGCCTGCTTCTGGTAGATAAACTTATTTTAGAGCATAAATGATTTGTCTTACAAGTGTACTAGCTGGAATATTTCAGTTACCCACATCACCTTACAGTTATAGTACTGGACTAGCACGAGGGAGACCAGAAGAAAATCTCATACAATCTGAGGAGGTTTTTTTAGTGGAATTTTTAAAATATCCAATATGGTGTAGCGTCCCACATGATGGGCATAAGCCCATCATGTGGGACGCTATACCATATTGGATATTTTAAACATTCCATTAAAAAAAAACTCCTCAGATTGTATGAGATTTTCTTCTGGTCTCCCTGGGAAACTCAGGTTCAGATCCGTACCCAACCATGACACTCACTGGGTGCGTTCAGACGAGGCATTTTAGCTGGCATAAACTGCTCGGGTTGGAACCATTGCAGTTTATGCCGGCTGAAACACGATCACACTACCTCCCTCACAGCAGGCACTCAGCAGAGCACGTCGGCGTTTTTGTTTTATTTTTACACAGTTTGCACATGCGCATAGGCAGCCTTCCTTACAATGAAGCCAATTGGCTGCTGCTCGGCTCTCAGGGCACGTGCACGTGTTGTTGTTGTTGTTTGACAGGGCAAATGGAGCTGGGAAGGAGGGAAGGAGAGAGGGAGGGAGGGAGAGAGGGGGGGTGAAGAGCGCAGGCAAGCCAGGCCGGGCAGGCAGTCTCTCGGGGAGAATCCTAGTGCTGCCGGCTCCTGCAGGGAAGGCGGAGCAGAGATTCTTGCACGTATGTCGCCCCCTCCCGCCTCTCCTCCCTCTTATTTTATTTTTTGACAAGCGAGTCAGGCCCACCGCCGGCCGGCCGTTGACGAACTCCCCTCCCTCGCCACCCCGTCTGTAATCCAGTACCGCCGAGGCAGCGAGAGCTGGGCAGGTGTCCCCCCCCGCTGGCCTTCCGCGGCACACCAGAGTTCACACAGCGATCAAGCCGCGTTTTGGCTTTCCTGGGCTCAGAGCACCCTCTTCCTGTCGTCGGCGCCACGACTTCCTTGTGCAGTTCTTCATCACTTCGGCCTTCCTTCTTCCTTCTCTTCCAGGAAATGGTGCTTTGGGGAGACCGCCTGGCCGAGCACCATTTTTTTTTTTAAAAAAACAAACAAACGCCAGGGCGAAGCTTCGCCCAAGCGCACATCACCTACCTTTAAAAAAATGGCGGGGGAAAATCGGAAGCCTCTGGCTTCTGAACGGAAGTGGCTCTGCAACGTTGGAGAGCAATCAGAAGGGGGGGTACAGCGATTACAACCGTTGTACTCAGGATACCACCACTTGGGGACCAAGTGGCAGAGTACAATGGTGTAAAGCTGTTTACAACGGTTAGGGACGGAAGGCAGATGTTCGCCGTGTGAACGCCGGTAAGTACAGCGATTGCAACCGGCACCTATTCCGTTGTAAATGCCCCGTCTGAACGCACCCACTGACTGACATGAGGCCAGTCACTCTCTCTGAGGAATTTCACATTACCCTTTTAAAACCGTTATTGCACCGCCATGGAATAAACCGGTACAGGGATGGCTGTTTCACACACCCTTTCCCTTCCGGTAAAGAGCCGTCTCTGAAGCGGTGTGTCATTTCAAACTGTGCTGCTTTCTTTTCCTGCCATTTCCCCCCCCACGCACGCGATCTCCCCGACAGTTGTTTTTTTAAAAACATTCTATTGGGAGTGCTATGGCACTGTATCAGGACTACAAAGCAACACCATAGTGACCTCATTGAGATGCCTGGACTCCATTTAGATACACTGACATTCGCTACTTCCCTGGAAAGGAGGAGCTCACTGGATACAGAGTTCAAGCGCGGGGGTGGTGGTGGTGGTGGACATTTTTGAAACCCAGGTAGCAGGCTATTCTGGTGCTTTTTAATTAATCAAAGCCCAAACAGGTAAAGCCCCTCCTCCTTTTTTACGCTGGAGTGATCAGACTGGGGAAAGTCCGTCCGTGAGGTGTAGCAACTTGTTTGTTACTGGACTTTCCCTGGTGTCTTTTTACTTTGCTTCTGCGGCAGAGCAAAATGGGCCGCCGATGGGTGCGGGGCACTTCCCAGATGTTCATGTCTGACTGTGCCCTTTAAATCTGCCCAGCATTCATGCCTATGGCGCAGCTAATTGTGCATGTGATCGCACCTACAATTTCAATGTTGGGAAAACCTATGGACTAAAGGTATTAGATTCATTGCTAGACAAGCATTATGAGAAAACTGGTACAAGATGTTTTATCGATGGTACGTCACCCCAAAAAATATTGCTAAGATGGACAAGAATTACAAAGGGGCTTGCTGGAAATGTAAAAAAGAAGGTGGCACCTTTTATCATATGTGGTAGACCTGCATCAAAACAAAAAGATACTAGAAAAACATATATGAAAAAAATCAAGATATTTTAAAAACTAAATTCCTGGTGAAACCAGAGACTATGTTACTGGGAATCCTTCCAGATAATATAGATAGAACCTCACAAGACCTACTTCATTATATGTTGACAGCTGGCAGAATAATATTTGCAATGAAATGGAAGACAGAAGACTGTCCTACAGTAGAAATCGGGGAAGAAAAACTAGCTGAAAACCATGTGTTCTGCATTTCCTTTGAAAAGGGGTTGTGTCTGTGTCACCATGTACTTTGTAAAGTACTGGGTCCAGACATGTAGGAGTAATTTCAGTTCATAGTTTATTAAGAACACACACTCAAGACTGAAATAGCAGGACCGGAGCCCTGCTTAAATCCGTGAGGCACACCACACCCAACACACACCCTGCTCCCCGTGATAGGTCATTTACACAGTGTCCATACCCATAGGTCGGGCATAGGATCCGGAGTAGCCGATAGGCTCGCTCTAGGATCCTTGCCTGCTATTGTTTCCAATCTTTAAGCTGTGCTTGTTCACCCAGCCACGTGTTTGCCCAAGCTCATGTGGAGCCCTTGTTGGTACACAACGTACTTCATCAGCGACAGAAACTCCCTTTTTTGCACATGTGCAGTAACATTATAACATCATAACATTGTAAAAAAAGGCTGGATGTGTCACAGGGAACAGCATTGTTGCGGCCATTTCAAAGATCCTCCGTTCCTCCTTAGTTGCCAACCAAACAAATGGCTGGTGATCATCAAATTCGTAACAGTGTTATTCAATAATTACGAAGCATGCTAAATGTACTTCATCAGCAGTGGAACGTCCTATGCAGTAGTATTATAACATCATTAAAAAAAAGGCAGCATGGTTGCGCCCATTTCAAAGGTCCCCTGCTCCTCCTCAGTTGTTAACTAAGACAATGGCTGGTGATAATTGAACTGGATACACCAATTCATAACAGCGTTATTCAATACTTATGAAGCACGTTAAATGTGTCCTCGTGTACTTTGCCAGTGACAGAACCTGCTCTTTTGCATATGCAGTAATGTTATAACATCATAACATTGTAAAAAAAGAAAGAAAAAGAGAATGCACCAGGAACTATAGGGGAAGAGAAGGGGGGGGGGGGAGACACAATACAAGTGCATGGCGTCAAAACCTACCTGCCGGGGGAGCTCCATGGATGGGTGATTGCACAGAGAGGGCTACATGAAACCTTGCTGCCTGTTTTGTCCCAACATTATAACGTTGCTATATTATAATGGGGGGGGGGGAAAGCACATTTTCGTAACACAAGGAACATTACACTTTAAAAAATTACACTTTTAAAAAATCAGCGGATTGCTCAGGGGACAACCTTAAGGGGGGCAGGAGGTGGGGGGGGTGAACATGCAACACTGACGACACAAAAGGCCCCAAGAAACAAAATCTGAAATTGGGGATTCCTCACTGGAAAACTGCGAGTTCTGATCTGAAGGGGGGGAAACTGCAGAAAAGTGGATTCAGAAAATGTGGAGTAACAGGGCATTAAATTCTGATCTACTCCTGGGGAAGCAAAAAGTTGTGTGGAAAGTTTTACAAACTGATTATTTAAAAATGTCGATGCAGAGGTTTGCACTTGTGTCAAAATGGTCAATGACTGCTGTCTCAAGCAGTCAGTCTCAAGCTGTTTGCTGAGAGGGAACTACTAGTGTACTGCAAGAAAACACAGCCTCCTCTGAGAATGGATAATGCTTGATTATATAGCCTCCAAAGTAAACCCTCTGGAGTGTAAGAGTGCCTCCAATTTTATGTCAGAAAAGTGTGCCTCAGCTACAAATTTATTTGGGAAAACACTGTTGTAAAGCCATGGCCAAATGGTAACTTATATTTTTTTAAATTAGAATTTTATGGGAATGATCATACCTTAGAAAATAAAAGATCTGCCAGGATCTTTTATTATCTTGCTTACATTCCTGTTTAGGTACCACCTGAACTGATAATCCTTCAGTGTCATCAAAGAGTCCTCTGACACCTTCAGTGTAAATCATGGTATGAACTCCTTTAATCCCATATCTATTTTGCAATAGCATTATGTATTCATGGAGTAGTATAGCTGATATAATCTAGGAAAGTCATGATCTGAGATGAAATAGCATGGGTTTGCGTAGGATTGAGCAGAGCTGGAAACAGTTGGATGTTTTGTGGCTGGTAGAAGGCATCTTCTGCTCTTCGGTTGAGTGGTGGCATGAAGTTGGTAGAGTTTACAACAGCTAAATAGCATCCAGCTGAGCAGCATAAAAGGGAGAAGAAGCTCATTACTGGATATACAGAATGCCTCCACAGTCAGAACCTACACAGGTTAAACCAGAAAATGCTGTCAGTGTTCCACAGCTGTTTACCTGGGAAGATATTGCAATTCACTCTGGTCAGGGGTCTTCCAAGCAGGACCAATGGCTGGTCATCAACAGGAAGGTTTATGATATCAGCAATTTCTACCGGAAGCATCCAGGAGGAAGCCGTGTCATCAGCCACTTTGCAGGACAAGATGCTACGGTGAGATTCTTTGTTAGAGTTTTTTTTTGTCATTTGCTACAAGATAGCCTCAGATTTAATGCCATGGGTGCAATAGAAAAGGGAGAAAACTTGTTATGAAAACCTTGTTATGGGTTTCTCAGAGAGAGAGAGAGAGAGAGAGAGAGAGAGAGAGAGACGCTAGTTGGGATACCAGTGGAGAAGGAATTTCAAAGACAAGGCTGAAGGTGAAGGAAGCATCTATCTCTGCTAGGTCTGGACTTTCATGTGGAAGCAACAGGTAGAAGGGACTTTCCATGATGACTTAGAGCATGTGTACCTGATTCTCAGAAACAATAATAGATGACAAAGTATTGATAATGGGTCTGTTTGTGCAGGGAGGCAAAAATGAAAATACAACAAGCAAATACATCTGGGATAGAGATAGCCTGATGTATGAAGTGGCTTTGGTCTTTTGCAAAGTGGGAAGAACGTTGGCTTTTTTGCATTGCTCGTAGGCATTGGTTTGGAGGGATTCTTACCACCTTTTGATCCCGTAGCCTTCCCCATTGTTTTGGTAAAGCTGTGATATTTAAATTGCAGTCCGTTTTTTAAATTGTTAATTCTTTTGTAGAAGCTCGAGGTGGAGGCAGTGTTGGGTGTGACCGCACAGTCCCGCTGTCGCTCCATCCACCCCCCCCGGTCTTTTGCAAAGTGATTAACAGGGATGATTACAGCAGTTCTTATAATCAGATCAGGTCCCCTTCTCCTCCTACAACTGCTTATAGGATCATATTCTAATTCATGAAACTTCTGATAAGAAGTCCAGTTAGGTTTACTTAAACCAACAAACCATGGTTTCCCCCGGTGTTTGCTGAGACCACAGACCTAGGGGGAAATCCTGTTTAATGCCATATTCACACACTTCCTTGTTTTAGGATCATGCAAGATGTGCTATCTGCTGAGCATGGGCACTATGACATTTTATTGTTACAGTGCTTGGTGCACATTTTTTTACATTAAGTATTCATTCACATATGCTTAAATATGAAACTGTCATTCTTTAATGTGATTCAGGATAAGAGAATATTACCTGTTTCACAACTTTTAATGTACATATTTCTGCCAATGGTTTTTTCTTTTTGATGTTGGTTTTATAGATTACCTAGGAGAAAAGGCCCGTTGCGGACAGGAATGTGACGGGCGCTAGCAATCATTCCCGGGTGAAGGGTGGGTGGGCCAGGAGGGGGAGGGGGCCTCTGGACGGCACCTCCCACCCAGCTGCCTCGGCGGGAAGGCAGGAGAAGCCACGGGAAGGGCCGCAAAGGGCTCTCCAGCCCCTTACTGGCTCAGGTGTGCCAGCGGGTGGGCATTGTAAATGGAGCTGTGGTGGCTAGTGCACTGGTGCCGCCGGTCCCCCCGGGCTGCTGAAGGTGGGGGGTGCTCTAAATGGGCCCAATGTGGTGGGTGCGCCACCACCACCACTGTCCCCCCACTCCCCCGAGGCCTCTGCAGCCAGGTGGGGGGGGCATAAATGGGGCCGCGGCGGCTAGTGCACAACCGAGGCCTTTCTGCCTGAGGCTTCAGTAGCGGGGGATGGGTGCGGTAAAGGGGCCTGCAGCAGCTAGCACAGCACCGCCGCCCTCTACCCATTCCCTCCGAGGCCTCTGAAGCAAGGCAGGGGGCACCGACAACAGGTTTGCATGGGGTGGGGCGCTGCCGCCTCCTCCAAGGCGGCACTCCATCCGTTGCTCTGTGAGGCGCCTGAAGTCAGGTGGGGAGGGAGATGGGTGCGTCAGCCGGCGCGCCGCCTCCACTGGAGAGGCCACACTCCACCCACCCTTCCCGGAAGCCCTGAAGATGCTCACTGTGTCCTGCCTGCCTCACAGTGTGCCAGGGGAGTGAGCGTGACAGTGTCCCAGGGAAGGGAGAAGGCTCATTGTAGCAAGAGACAACGGCTGCTAGCCTTGGCGGTAGGCACCCAGCCACTCTGGGTGGCCCAGCAGTGATGGGGGGAAGGCGCATGGCCACGGTGCCGGCCCGATGCCACAGCAGGCCAAGGTGACTGGGTGGCCTGCCAGGCCAGCGTGCTTGAGGCCCCCGTGGGTGGAGGAGGCTGGGCACGCCCCCCTCACGCCTGGGACAATGAGGAATGGTGTGGCAGCGGTAGGTTTGACCTGGGGCTCGCACATGTCCCAGCGCTGGAGTGTCCATTCCGCCTGGCAGCCCCACGCAGACTGAGGGCAAAAGGCTGCCTGGCGGGTCTTTGGGCGGGCGCAAGGCGACAGAGGGAGGCAATCCAGCCAGGGGATTGCGCCCCCCCCCCCACTGAGCGACAGGTCAGGGACCCAAAGCCTAGTGAGGCGTGTGGAACGTTCAGGGAGTCTCACACCAAAATGCTTTCATATATAAGGAGAGATTGTGCATACATGCGATATGGCTTTCATATGCAATTTATATTATATGTCATATTATAGCATAATGTGCAATTCTGATTTAATGAAACACTAATAATGTTGAGAACTGTGTACCTCTTATGGGTTAGAAATCAATGTAGTGTGAAAATAAAGAATCAGAGGTTTGCTTTGGATAAGGGAGGCACGAATGAGGAGCTGGGGGCTGGAACTGTGGCTACGAGAAATTGGAAAATCATTGCCAACAGCTTTAGTAACACTTTGTAAAAGAGTTGAAATCCCTGGCAATGTGTCAGGTTCTCTGCAAGCCAATTAACCTGACAAAAATGAGCTCCTTTGCATAACAGCTTGCCTTCATTCGTGCTGGGTGGGGCAGGCTACGGAGGTGGCCCCATTATGAGGCATCTGAAAGAGGGCGCTTCAGACTGGGGAGGAGCAGGTTTGGGGCTGCGCCTTAACGCTGAGATTGCGTGTGTGCACACACCCACTGAAGCGATGTGTGGGAGGCTTCGGCCCCAGTGACTGTATAGGCTTATGCAGTTTGAACAGCTGCAGGTAACTTACCTAACAATCTCCTCGTCACAGATGGGACTGGTAGAAATACAGAATCAGGGTCTGTGCTGGTATGCAATTTCTCCTTGCAGCAGTAAGATCTTCGGGTTCAGATGCCTCATCATTACCAGTCTCTCAATATAGATCCTGGTCAACAGGGGTCATTTCGTAGAAAAAGAGCTAGGGGAACTCATTAGCATAACTCATTAGCATATGCCACACCCCCTGACATCAGGGGCCCGGCGGTGGACCTGCAAGGCTGGCGGGAGTGCAAGGAAGCCCCGCCAAGGCCCTCCCTGGCCCCAGGCAGGCAGGGGTAGGGAGAGGCGGGGAGGAAGCAACTTACCCTCCCTCTTCTCCTGCCTCCTCCTGGCTGAATGAGGGCCGGAAGCGGGGCGGCTGGAAGCAGGGGGCGGGGCTTCGTCATGTGCCCCGCCCCCTGCACCTCACCCGGGGGAACTGCGTTCCCCCGCGTCCCCCCCCCGAAATGACCTCTGCTGGTCACTGTGTTGGAGGGAGATTCAGGGCAGTAGCTGGGGCAGAAAGTGTCTCTGTGGAGGTACATGGTCGTTGAATGCCCAGCAGTGCCCCATATGAGCATGGAGTCAGCAAAGATATTGATGCTGGCCATTCACTAGCTACATACTTTCACTCAGGGATCATTTCCTGCAGGAGCACACAGGAGCAGAGCTTCGGCAGTAAAGAGCTCAGGGGGCGGGCACATGCAAAAAGCCCCACCCCCTGCTTCCAGCAGCCCTCAGTCAGAGCAAGAAGCAGCCAGGTAAGCTGCAGAGCCCCCCCGCCCCCCGGCCCAAAACAGTTCAGTGGCACCTTTAAGACCAAGTTTTATTCAGGTACGAGCTCTCCCTCCTCTGCCAGAACACCTCCCCCCCAATAGCTAGAAATTCAAAACAGTCCAGTGGAGCCTGAGCGGTGGGTGTTGCCTTCTGACACACTTCTGGTGATGTCAGGGGGTGTGGCATACGCAAATAAGTTATGCTAATGAGCCTTTGGCCACCAAATGAGAAGGGAGCACTCACTGGAGGAGAAGACCCTGATGCTGGGAAAGATTGAAGGTCAAAGAAGACGGGGACGGCAAAGGATGAGATGGTTAGACAGTGTCATCGAGGCAACGAACATGAAATTGAGCAAACTTCAGAGGATGGCGGAAGACCGGAAGGCCTGGCGGGAGCTGGTCCACGGGGTCGCGAAGAGTCAGACTCGACTGTGCGACTGAACAACAACAATGAGCGCCTGCACCTCTTTTTCTACAAAATGACCCCTGCAGTGTCACTAGCTACATGCAGACAGAGATGGCCCATACTGCAGCTGCTATCTTGCAGGGCCCCTCCTCCACTGTGATCGTGTCTGAGTTTTTGCCTCCTATCCCACTTTGAATCATTCACATCACCAGGCTTAGAGGCATAGCGACTCTTTCACTACTAGTTTGGTAGCCATAGTTCAACCATTGCTGAATGAACACTTGGGTAATTTTATTATTTGTCATGTATAAAATCGATTGGTGTGTACCTTCTAATCTCATGCAGATATTTCCTTCCCATTTGGTACTTGTAATGTGTAATGGGATGGTCATGCTATGTAGGAGAGGATAAGAATTTGGGAAGAAACGCCGTTTGCTCTTCTGCTTCAGGCAGTAACATTTCTTGGCCTAGCCCTGGGAACCATAGATTTTGCGGTACAGATTTTGCGGCAGCAAATTGTCCATTGTTTCATTTATCTTTTCACCACCAGTGTGTGTTTGGGGTGCCATTTTTTCATCTTCTTCAGACATTAAAATGTCTTGAGTCATAAGAACATAAGAGAAGCCAAAGTTGGATCAGGCCAATGGCCCATCCAGTCCAACACTCTGTCACACAGTGGCCAAAAATACCAGGTGCCATCAGGAGGTCCACCAGCCGGGCCAGGACACTTGGAGCCCTCCCACTGTTGCCCCCCCCCCAGCACCAAGAATACAGAGCACCACTTGCCCCAGCCTGAGAGTTCCTATCTATACCTTGTGGCTAATAGCCACGGATGGACCTCTGCTCCATAGGTTTATCCAATTCCCTCTTGAAG